AAATGTGGGGAAATCTGGTAGTTACAGACAATCTATATATATATATATGTATGTATGTATGTACAGTATGTATGTATGTATATGTAAAACTTTAAAAATGAGCATTATACAAACTATCCTTGTTGTTTCAACATTTTACTGTATGCTGATGACAGCATGGGTTTCCATTTCAGGTCTTGTTTCAAGGCTGGCAAAACAAAGTCAAAGAACACTTCAAAAAACTAAACCTCAGCTCTTGTGGTGACTCTTGTTATTTGATGTATTTTACTAAAGTCCATCAGAGATAAAAAGGCTCCCAGTAGGAATCAGCTGCTTTCTATCTAACAGTAATCTCTGTCTCGTTTTGTCTCTATCAGATCGGTCTGGTTATTTTTCCTCCCAGATGCTCTTCCTGATATCTTGTCTCCCGTCAAAATCAGACTTAAATTCCCAGCAGATTTCCAAGCAGAGCCAGAATCTGCTGCAGCTCGGTCAGGAGGGGCTTTATTAGGTATCAGAAAACAAGGAAAGAAGCACACTACCAGATCCATTTGCATTTAAATGCTCTGTTTCAAGCTCAGCATCTCATGTGACAGTTTCTTAACAAAACAAAGCTGTGATGGTTCCAGTGCAATTACAAGCGAGGACATGCCTCATCATTTAGAGACAATCAAAAATAGGATGCAAGAGGATGCAAAACAAAAAATAAACAAGCAAATGTAAAGCACCTACCTGATCTACAGGCCATGTCTACATCTTTCTCAAAGTCAGTCTGAGGAAATAAAGCAGAGATCAGTTCACACCTCAAAAGTATTTCATAAGAAAAAGGGACATTATGGCTCTACTCACCATGAGCTGGGCATGGCCATTTTGGAAAGATCCACCAGAATCTCCATTAGTGTCTTCCTGTCGATCCACAACACGACACTTGACGGCCTCTTGAACCTGCAGCAAACGGTGACAAACCTTACCACCACAGTCTGACAGAGACTGAAGGAAACACAACCAAGTCATACTGCAAACACTTTCTCGAGTTCAGGATTCTAGTTTGGTGTGACATAAAAAAAGCAAAAACTGTACTTAAAAAATGGGCTCCAAAGAAAATGATTTTGAATCATTATCTTCACATTTTTCTGTAAACCTAAATACATCTTTTTAAAATGATGTGGCACTAGACACACCTCATGCTAACCTGTGACCCTGAACAGATGCTTGTGTCTGCAGACTGAATCACTTCAATGAGCAGATAAGCCTGAACAATAAATAAGGCTGCAGCAGTTAATCACCAGTCAACCAGTCCAGCACCAAACAAACTATCAACGTGGATTTTTATTGTGGACATGCTGTATCTAGAGCAGCTGTGGTCCCACTGATCCACAAAAATAGTTTTAGTTCCTGCAGTTCTCGGCTGGAACGTCAAGGGGCAGCAGCATCTTTACCCTGCACTAAGACTGCACACAGTCTTCAAACAAAGAAGGATGAGATGAAAAGCCTGACATCAAAAACAGAGACTTTAAAATATATTTCAGCATTTAATTAGTGACAAACAGCTGGAGACAGAATGTGTAAAGCAGATTTTTTTCCCTCAACAGAACTGCTGTGATGTTCTGCAGGTTAGAATTCCTGTTAGGATGTTGCTTTTGTTTCAGTTTAAACAAAGTAGATGCTTGTAAAGTCAACATCAGGTATGTCTGCAACCATTACCAGTGAGGAGCTGGAAATGACTGAGTGACTCTTTATCTAAATGGTACACATGCTGGGTCATGGAGGACACATCACAGAGACAAACATGATAATACTGATATTTTAATCTCTTATTATTGCATTTTGCAGAAACATGAAGGTGGAATTCACAGGTGAGAAGACTGTAGCAGGTGAGTTGAAACATTAAATGGACTCAGAACAGGAGGTGAACCACAGGAAGAAAAAAACTGTTAATGGATTTTAGTTCACAATCATAATATTCATTAGTTTCAGCTAATAAAGGTGAAATAAAACTATTATAATTTCTTGGAACTGTTAGCAAAACTAAAACAAACTACATAAATTTTATGTTTAAAACAGGTGAGAAATGAGAAACATCTGATACTTATATTTAAGATATGTTTTACACATCACTGGTGTAAATAAGTCACTACCTTCCATCATTGTTTATATTGAATTTAGTACAATAAATCACTTTTGTTTTTATTTAAAACATCTGCATCAGACTCTTCTGATGCAGAATTTGGTTACCATGGAAGTCATCAGTGCATCAATTCATTTCCTGACACATTTCAAATCATGGGCGCAGTTAGTACGGGGGACGATAGTGACCCTGATCAGTCCCCCCCACTTTCCCTGATAGGATGAGAAAAAATCTGATCAAAACTTATGATTACCGTTCTGTTAGTTCGCTGACGCTCCCACAGAGGAGCAGCAGCAGCAGCGCGGGTAACAGCTACCCGCGCTCTCCCCCCTCCCTTCCCATCTCTCAGGCTGTGTCACACAGCGGAGCGGTGCAACACACACACACACACACACACGGGT